GTTTCATGAAAATCTAAAATGTATGAGCCATTTTAGAATTAAATCTCCATTAACTCATTCATTTTCTTGGCATAACCTTAAGCAACCTGGCAAAGCGTGGACTAACAGATCTTGTTTTTTTTTTCTTGAATATATGATACCGGAAAGAACAAATGTTCCAATCGCATTTATGGTATAAATCACTGTAAAAGGAATATCTCTCTCCGCACTTGACAATATGCCATCTGCTTGCGCTCTTTTGCGAATATCTAGTAGATCTGGAATGCAAAGTAGAAAAGCTACTCTTAAACTTTTATCCACATTCCAGATTTGGTTTGGAGATAGATAATTGTCGTCAATAACCTTTGCCAACACTGAAAAAAATTTCATAATCTTGATTTATTAAACGCTTGGGCTCTATCTTATGAAGTTTTTTCTGGTAGTCACAAACTTATAGAAAGATTTCTTTTTAAAAATCTGTGCACCCAATTTCATCCTGCCAATTTCTTTGTTGTATTAAAATTATGTGATAAATGGTTTAACTCTGCTATTTCCTCAAACTCCTTTATACATGTAGGATGCTTACCACCCTAATAACTCTTACAGAAGTCTGTAGCAAAACGATTTTTCTCATGAAATCTTTTACAGTAACGTGCTTGCAGTGACATTGTAAGTTTTTGCAACACTTTTTCAACCCAACGTTTGTTTCTTAATTCTTCTAGCGCAGGTTTTATATGCAAGTCTTGCCAAGACTGCCTTTGTTGTTTATCGAATCGCCCATTTCTAAAGTAAAATATAATATAGATGAGAATGCTGCATTTATAATATAATTATAAAACACTAAAAACCTTTATTTTCAACACTTCCACAAAATTTATTATAAATCTTATCACTACAGCTTTCTTTTTTTGGTAAATAATACCACTTAATAATTTATTTATTATTTGCTATTGAAAACTAATCTAAACCGAATCTTTTTGTCTATTGAAATATCTCTACTTCTGCATTCGAGTGACATGACAGAGCAAAGTTGCCAACTGACAGATATGCTTTGTCTATTGAGGTGAGGCATAGACATTTATATAAGTTTAATCTGATAGAATATAGTCGGGTTTAAATAAAATAATTAGAATATTAGGTGAAAATGTAAAGTTAATTAAAGAGTTGAGCGCCAACTATTTTTAGAATAAAATACTAAACTAAGAGATAAAGTTAATAGATGAATACAATCAAAAGAAATTAAAATAAAATAATTCTTTAAAGCAAAATAACAAACATGTGTCGTTTAAAATGTTATAAGGTTTGATAATCGATTCTAGACAATAATATTCATTTGGTAGCAATGCAATTTCTATATATGGATAACTAGTCCATTTAAAAACTCACTTTTCAGAATCCTTCGTGGTTAGCCCTGTCCTAGCTTTCCACTTGGTGTTGTCATTTTCTAATCTCTGACAAAGTTGCTCAGGTTTCCCAGTTTTATCTTTGTGGCACAGATCATACTTTGCGGTAGTGAGGATAGAGGTTGAGTAGGGAGAGGCTAGGATGCTAACAGCATCACTACTCCTTTGAATATGTTATTTTTTTAACAACAATTTTGTTAGCATTTTCAACTAGTGCCGAATTCGTTTACTGATTTATATTCTTATTGAATTTAAAAAGTGTCTTTGGTATATTTCTTTCCAATTTCCTCACAGTTTTCATTAAAAATCTTTTTTTGACTATTTTATTTGAATTTAAATTTTCTTTGCAAATACAAATATTCCATTTCACTTAACTCAGCTATTCTACATTTAACTATATTATTCAATTAACTATTTTTAAGTTACGCCAAAGAAAACTCAAATTAATCAAATTCAAAACTAACAAACTTTGAAAACACAAATTACAAACTCAAATAAGTATTCTCATTCTGTACTATATTTCCAGAATTGGCCCGATTCTACAGAATTTCTCCCGTCGCCTTCAGATTAACTGTAATTGTTCTAAAAACCGACTTCGGTAAAGCGTTTACGATTTTACATATTTTGTACGAGTTGGTGCACCAATTTGCACTGAATGTTACTTCTTATTTCTTGAAGGTCGAGGTCAGTTTACTTTGGCCTTAATCCCTTTTCCAATTTGTTTCGATTTATACAAAAAAAAGAAACATGTTTTAGATTGCTGTCTAAAGCCAATATTAATTAAAAGCCGAGTATTAACTTAATAAATGATGTTAAGGTACAAACTGAATTAAGTAGGCGCGGTTATATAATCGTACTTGCCTGATATTTGACTGAAAACGGGATTATTTTAATTTACGATGCAATTTACTATTTATTTTTAACGAAAAGCAAAAAAGTCTATGAAAGCTCAGGAATGGGCCTCGTACTGCACGATAAATTTTAAAACAACATAAGATATCGAATATATCAGCCACATACTACTGAAGTATGCGTAAGTGTGCGTAAAAGCAGAGTGTGTTTTTTTTTTCTGTACCCAGCAAATGGTATAAATATTCAAAACATTGGCTGAGATATACAACACAACACAATTCTGAAAAGAGCCGTTCACCAAACCCATTCTCCTCTTAAAACTCTCTTAAGATCTCTCCTCCGCAGGACACCAACAAATTACCGTCAAAAATAAAATCAGGACGAACAACCAATGCACACAACTTACAAACAAGTGCCGAAAAGACCACAAAAGTCCTAAGCCGACCAAGTAGAGTCCTAAACAGGACTCTACTTGATTGACTACTTTATTAATATTTCCAATGTTGTATTGTAGCTTTACAACGTTGGCCTTTTTTTCTAGCAGTGTGGAATACGAAGCTCCATTTTAGTTTGACAACTTTTGTTATGATATCCTTCACTTTTGTTTTTAATCTTACCTAGTCCTTCCTCTTTCGATCTGACAGTCATATATCTATTATTGTCCTTTCCATTGTCCTTGCTGTTGTGGCTAGGTTCATATTTACCTTGGTTAGGGTCTATGTGTCATTGTGTCATGATAGGAAGGATGCACGAGTTGAATACTTTGCTCCTTAAGTATTGAGGTATTTTTCGGTTCCCAAATCCTGACCATACCAGTCTTGCTTTTCTAGTGATTTCCGCACTTTGGTTCCCTTTTTCAAGCATCATAATTTGGAGTAGGTAGGTATATTCTTGGACTCGTTTTATTATATTGCATTTATAGTTATACGTCTGGGGTCGTCTGTATTTGTCATTATTTTGTTTTTGTCATATTCATTTTTAGGTCGACTTATTGGGAGCTACAAGTTTCCTCGCCATAGTTTGTAGTTCCTTAAATGTGTTCGCTATAATCACTATGTCTTCAGAAAGTCTGAGGTGGTTTAACTTATTGCCATTAACGTTGGTGCCATAATGTTGACCAATTTCTAGTATTGAAGACGTCTTCTTGGCTAGATTAAACAGCTTTGGCGATATTACGTTGCCTTGTGGAACTTCTCTCTTAATTGTTATATGATTTGTATTTTCGTCTAGTTGTACTATCATAGTTGCGTTTTCATATATATTATGTATTAGTTACCTATATATCGAATATATTCTACAATTATCGATAGCTTCTTCTATGACCCATATCTCGATACTGTCAAACACCTACTTTTTCGTTACTTTACTATACCACTGTATTGAATTACTACCAAACACATTATTTCCTCTTTTTCTTTAAGTCTTTCATGTATCTAAAACTACACAATGTCATGAAACTGAATGGCTTATTAATGTAGTCCCGACAGGACGATGACACGGTACAGGTGGCACGAGATCTGATGGCAGAAATAGAAGTTAGGCATTTTAGAATAGATTAATATTATACAAGAAAATATTAAAAATGTACAACAGTCAATATTAAACGTTATTACATGGCGCAGTCTTGTGATCAATGAAACCTGATGCTTCCAAACTAAAATGAAACCAAGAAGTTGTTAGAATTAAAACACTATGAAGTTTAGAATACCTCAACCATTTCATTTGAAGGTAAAGTGGCTGAAAATTTTCGGCAATTCAAACAGTCATTTTAAATTTACCTCTTGGCCAGTGGCAAGGCAAAAAAGGAAAACACAGTAAAAATTGCTCTACTGTTAAATTTTTTGGGAAATGAAAAACTTAATGTGCCAAATACCTTAAAGTTAACGGATGGGCAAAAAAAAGTATAATACAGTATTGGGTGAATTACTTTACCCCTAAACAAATGTGATCTACGAAAGGTTTTTATTCTAAAATAAAAAACTAAAAAAAAGAGGAAGGATAGATATTTCTTCTTACCAATGTCCAATGTTAAAGAGCCGATAATACTAAGACAAATTTCAGTACTGCAATTTCAAATGCTAGCAGCTGATATTTGTGAATTTGGAGGACCAAATTATTTAATTAAATTGAAATTGTTCCGTTGCAGTGCAAAACATCCCAGTTAATAACAAATTTGTTTAAGACTGTTTGCCATTCACGGCATTCCTTTGGAAGTTGTATCCGATAATATGCCTTTTGGCTCTAAATAATGTCGAGAATTCTATAATTGAATCGAGAAATGAAACTTTAAATTTGTGACATCTAGCCTTAGATATGCTACAGCAAATGGACAGGCAGAAGGAGACATCCAGATAGCTAAAAATAATTTCACGTGTGAAAATCTTTAGTTAACTTTATTAGATTATAGCAACACACCGGTATTAGGATTAGGTAAATCCCCATCACAACTCTTGAATAGTCGTAGACTTAGCGGCAAACAGATTTACATGAAAAATATTTACCAGAACAGGAAGACCTAAAAAGTTAAAAAAATACATTGGATAATAAAAGAAAATTTTACAACACATTTTCTTCTTAAATTAAATGGGCATTTAAAGTAATTATTAAGCTAATTCTCGGATAGTTTTATATAACCATGTCAAAAAAGCAAAAAAAAAACGATAATTTACTATTTATTAATAAAAATCTTCATACTTTCATAATTTTAAAAATATAAATAGTAAAACAAAAAAAAAAACAAAAATATCAGGTCTTCTTTTTTTCTAGACACCTAGCGGTCGCAAGAAGGACATCGTCTTACGCCCTGAGTGCAGTCTGCTTCCTTTTTTTGTATTTAGCTGTTGGTGCTGGACTCTTCGTCATCTGGGAAGAGGACTGGACATTCTTCGAAGGATTCTACTTTTGTTTTATTACAATGACCACCATAGGATTTGGGGACTTCGTACCAAGTAAGTAAAGTTGATTTTGATAAGAATAAAAATAAAAAAGATTTTAAAAATAAAAAAACCTGTTGCTGCTGTATTTATTGATAGATTTGATACTTGCCCTGTAAAAAAACTATTGATGCATAACTGTATTTATGTATAATAACAATTTTATTGAATACACTTTATAGTAGACCCCATGGACCCCAGCATCAGCCAAAGTTGATTGATGTCTCTGATATATAACAATAAACAAATACTTATTAATGAGACATAGATAATATGAGTTTTGGTACAAAATATCCTTTAACATTAAAAGGGAATCCTTTCTGTGCTTAATTTTATTTCGAATTTAGTTGGGTTGGATTACATTGTGCTGAACGTTTAAAGGGGTTTTTTAAGTTAATTGTTTTTTCTTTGAAACGAACCAGCAGCAGCAATAAAATCAAAATTTGTCAGAAAGTGACTGTTTTAGAATCGTTACTCTTCGCGAAGAAGGATACACTCAAGTAGAACTCACTGAACGCTTTAACGTCACCCAGTCAACAATTTCAAGAGTGTTAACACATTTTTCTGTTACTGGAAGTAACTCGAGAAGACCCGGTCAAGGCCGTAGAAGGGTTACAACTGCTAATCAAGACCGGTTTTTGACACTTCGTACACTGAGACAAAGGTTTGTTACCAGTACTTCTCTACAAAATGAATTTTTGGATCGTTATAACTTCAGAATCAGCCAAAATACGATTAGAAGAAGACTTGCCGAAAACGACCTACACCCTGGGAGGGCACCAATTGGCCTATTATTGACCAGAGACCATAGAAGGCAAAGATTGCATTTTGCTCATGAACAAATTGATGGGAATAATGACGATTGTGGATTAATATTGTTTACCGATGAATCTAGATACTGTCTTTTTTCTGATGACAGGAGAAACTGAGTGTATAGAAGGCCTGGACAACGCTGCACACATCGTAACACCGTAGTGACTGTACAGTATGGTGGCGGCTTGGTAATGGTATAGGGTGGGATTAATTTAGAGGCTTGTACGGAATTAGTTAGAATAGATCGCGGTAGTCTTACATCGCAGAGGTATATAACAGACATTTTAGAAAAGCATGTCGTGCCATCTGCACCATTTATTGGGGATAATTTCATGCTTATGCAAGATAATGCCAGGCCACACACGGCAAGAATTGTGCAGCAGTATTGTCAGGAGGTGGGAATTCCTGCCATGGTTTGGCCTGCGAGTCCTGACCTCAACCCAATAGAACATGTTTGAGACATCATAAGCAGACGACTACGACAACTACCTAATGCACCAAACACATTAGATGAACTGTTTTGCGGTTGGTTGAAATTTGGGATCAAATTGATCAAGAAGAAATCAGAACGATTATTCTCAGTATAAGAGATCGTTGTAAAGCAGTAATAAATGCCAGAGGAGGCAATACTCGATACTAGTACACGATACTAGTATTTTCTTTAACCTTAAAAAATTCAACTTCGTAATTAATTTATGTTAGGTTAGGTTAGGTTAGGTTAGTTTATATATACACAGTTGTATATATACACTGTATACACAGTTTATATATATATATATATATATATATATATATATATATATAAATGCAATTATGTGAAGTGCATCCCACAAAGGCGTATTAAATCATCAATTTGATTACCTTATCAAGATCCTTAGGGAGCGATCGCTTACAATACGCACATTAAAGATACATTTTAACTCCCATTTCCTGCTAGATACTGCAGATAAACTGCAGGCGCGGCATATTATGTGAACTTTATTGAGCTCATATCAATACCAATACACGAATCTATAGGAATAAATGCATGAGTGATATTTCCCCAAAAATTTCCCTAGGAGATTGTTAGGGAACGACAATAAACATAAAAAGAAAATAATGATATTATTTTCTTTGAAAATATTATTAAGCTTTATAGACTTTTGAAAAAAATATCCGAGTTTATATAAATATTTTTTAAAAAATTCTAAATTTTTGAAGATGACATGTCATGTTTGAGTGTTATCATCATCATTATTTGGCTCTTCAACTCTATGTGACTCTTGGCCGCGTTTACTACTACAATCCATTGTTGTCGGTTCTGAGCAGCTATTTCCTATTGCTGTATTCCCATTTTGCGTAGATCACTGGCTACTGCGTCCTTTCATCTCTTTCTTGGGCGACCAAGTGACCTTCTGCCAACGGGATTTTCCCAGAATGTGGCGTTCTTTTGCCTTTCAAAGTCTTTCGTCACTCGATCTTAGCACGTGGCCAACCCATCTTATGCAGTTTGCTTCAATGTAGCGTACTATGTTTTCATCTCCATATACTATCTGGAGTTCATCATTTTGTCTTCTTCTCTATTCTCCCGTTGTCTCTTCTCTGCAAGGCCCTTAGATAATCGGCAGTATCTTTCTTTCTAGTACCAGTAGTTTTGTCGTTTCTCACTGTTTCAGAGTCCACGTCTTGCTTCCATAACTTATTGTGGGGCGAATTATTGTCTTATACACCCTTATTTTTGCTGGTATTGAGAGTATTTTTGATTAAGGTACGGTCATTAGTGAGTAATATGTCCTTTTTCCTGCAATGATCCGGGCTGCCACGTCCCTTTCATATTTATTTTCAGATGTTATGATCGCTGCCATTTAATTGAAAAAAAAAATGGCAAAAAATAGACCAGTACACATGACATTCATAGATGTCAAAAAAGCATATGACACGGTTCCCAGAAAACAACTATGGAACACGATGAATGAAATCGGAATAACTCAAAGGTTAATAGAAGCCGTAAAAAACCTTTACAACAACAACAAGGTAAGAGTTAAAACCGCAATAAATACTCCAACAAATTTAAGACCACAAAAGGCTTATTGCAGGGATGCTCTATATATCCGACACTGTTCAAGATATTCCTCGAACAAATATTAAAACCATGGAAAAGGAAATGTGAAGGGATGGGAATACCAATCCGAGACAACTTATTGAATACATTAAGCTTTGCAGATGAGCAAGTGGTAACGGCTCAAGATGAAGAAGATCTGTGCTATTTGCTCCGAAAATTAGAAAAGGAATACACAAAAAATGGAATGGAAATAAAACTAGAAAAGACCGAATATTTAACAACAGAGCAAGAACCAGTGAGAAACTTGGAAATGGACGATTATAGGCAGATTAACGGCACTGAAAAATTCAAATATTTAGAATTCATATTCTCAAAAAATTTAACCACCGAGCAAGATATAACTAGCAGATTAGCACAGACAAGAACATGTATTAAACAAATGAACGGGATAATGTGGGATAGACAGATTACCAAAAATACAAAGAATATAATTTATAACACCTTGGTACGCAGTATAATGACCTATGGAGCAGAGAATTGGGTAATAAATAAACGAAACAGGTCCAAAATCACAGCAACTGAAATGGAGTTCATGAGAAGAAGCTGCAGAGTGACAAAAATAGATCGCATCACAAATGAGGAGACAAAACGAAGAATGGTAGTAGAACAAGACATACTCAGCTACATAGAAGAAAAACGTTTAATTTGGTATGGACATGCGAGTAGAACAGATCATACAAGGTGGATAGCAAAGATTTCGAATTGGAGCTCAATAGGAAGAAGGAAAAGAGGTAGACCCCGAAGATCATGGAGGAATGAAGTAGACGAGGTCATAGAAAGACGAGACCTTAGAGATGGAAAATGGCAGAACAGAAAGGACTGGAGACGTTGGCTGAAAGAAGCAGCGACAGCTGTAAAAATCCTTATATAGATAGATGATCGCTGCCAGGTACTTGAATTCTTTGACGACTTCAAAGTTGTATTAATTGATTGTTACGTTTTATCTAATACTTCTTGGGTTCTTTGTAACCATTATTACTTGCTCTTGTCCTCGTTGACCTTTAGACCAACTTCTTTGACACCGTTTTAGAATAGAATGAAAACTTCTTTTGCATCTCTGGTGGATTGTGTAATTGTGTCTACGGCATCCGCAAACGCCAATAGTATTTTTGATCCCTAGGCGGCAAATCTGTTTGTCAGTTGTGGTTGAGCTTTCCTTACCGCATGTTCCAGTGGAATATTAAATAGTAGGGGGGCGAAAGGATCTCCTTGTCTAAGCCCGGTGTCAATGAGGAATTCCTCCGAATGGTGGAACTTCCTGGTGCTGCCAATTCTGATCCGTGCCCAAGAGTTCTCTGTGCTCAACTGTGCTAATCGTACCACCTTTCCAGGTACTCTTATTTCTACCATGGTCTCTCACAATGCTTCTCTGCTAACAGAATCGTAAGCTTGTTTAAAGTCCACGAAGATTTGACGTACATCGCGGTTGAATTCCCAGTTTTTTTCCAACACCTGGCGTAAGACAAATATCTGGTCTATGCTCGACCTTCCCGGTCTGAATCCGCTTTGGTAGTCGCCTATTATTTCCTTTGCGTATGGAGTTGGTCTTCTAGACATTATTATGAATATAATTTTGTACGTTGTACAGATTAACGATATTCCTCTATAGTTCCGACATATTTGTTTGTCTCCCTTCTTGTGGATAGGAACTATATGGGTTTCATGCTAGTGTTTCGGTATTTCTTCTCCATTCCAGACTTCTCTTATAAGACTTCTCCCCCTTTTTTAGTAGTTCCGCCTGTATGCCGTCTGGGCCTCGAGCTTTATGGTTTTTTAGGGACGAAATTGCGGACTTTACTGGAGCTAGTGTGGGCCCTGGTATTTCAAGTTCGGCTAACTGGTACTGTGTTTGTTGCCCTGTCGTTGCAGGTTTTTCTCTATTTAAGAGTTGCTCAAAATACTTTCTCCATTGGCAGCTTATCTCCTCGTCGTCTGTGAGTATTGTCCTGCATCGTCTTTTATAAATTGTGATGTTTGAGTGTGGTTGTCTTTTTAAAGAAAAATAAAATGCAGTAATTTTTAGCTATTAGTCTAATTTAATTAAAATATTTTTGCGTTCTTTGCCCTTGTTTGTTCATCTTATTTTTCAATATATTAATAT